CCAATTTGTTGATCATTTTTACAGATTAGACCAACACAAGCACATAAAGTAATTTTATCACCACCTGCTGTATATGGTCTACCATCAGTCAGTCGAGCTTCAATATCAACTGGTCTTTCACAGATTTCACCTTTATATTCTTTTCTTAAAGCAGAAAGATGTTCCCAATCACCTGTACCGGATGGATTATCTCGATCATAAAACCTTGTCCATGTACATTGGGGTTTTGCTAAAAGAGACAATAAAACAAATTTCAAAATAACAAGTAATTTAATGCTGTTCATGAGGACATATTTCCACAAAACCTGGTGTCAACTACGACTGACTGTATGGACCCAATTTTTTTTCTCGGTTATAAAAAATCTGATGATGTTCCAGTTAATGTATTAACATGAACCAAAATTTGTTATATATTAAATAATCCTGAAGATTTACTAACCTTTTGGACAGCAGAATCTAACTTTATAATCATCACATCTATTTCCACTAGTTTGTTGATTATTTTTACAGATTAGACCAACACTAGCAGATAATGTAATAATATCACCACCTGCTGTATATGGTCTACCATCAGTCAGTCGAGCTTCAATATCAACTGGTTTTTCACAGATTTCACCTTTATTTTCTTTTCTTAAAGTAGAAAGATCTTCCCAATCACCACTTGCTGATGGATTATCTCGATCATAAAACCTTGTCCATGTACATTGGGGTTTTGCTAAAAGAGACAATAAAACAAATTTCAAAATAACAAGTAATTTAATGCTGTTCATGAGGACATATTTCCACAAAACCTGGTGTCAACTACGACTGACTGTGTGGACCCAATTTTTTTTCTCGGTTATAAAAAATCTGATGATGTTCCAGTTAATGTATTAACATGAACCAAAATTTGTTATATTTTAAATAATCTTGAAGATTTACTAACCTTTTGGACAGCAGAATCTAACTTTATAATCATCACATCTATTTCCACTAGTTTGTTGATTATTTTTACAGATTAGACCAACACTAGCAGATAATGTAATAATATCACCACCTGCTGTATATGGTCTACCATCAGTCAGTCGAGCTTCAATATCAACTGGTTTTTCACAGATTTCACCTTTATTTTCTTTTCTTAAAGTAGAAAGATCTTCCCAATCACCACTTGCTGATGGATTATCTCGATCATAAAACCTTGTCCATGTACATTGGGGTTTTGCTAAAAGAGATAATAAAACAAATTTCAAAATAACAAGTAATTTAATGCTGTTCATGAGGACATATTTCCACAAAACCTGGCGTCAACTACGACTGACTTTGTGGACCCATTTTTTTCTCGGTTATAAAAACCACTTGTGGTTATTAGGAAAAAAATGACGGTTAACATCAATTACTACGATGGAAAACCACACCAAACACTTCCATCTCTCATCATAATAGTTTGTCGGTAGTTAAGGACTCACGAGGATTACAGTAGAATCCAACTTTGTTATCTTCACATTGGTTGTCTGATTGTTGACGATTTATACAAGAAAATCCTGAGGTCGGATTCGAAGAAATAACTTCACATCAGAAATTGGTCGACCTTCTTTAAACCTGACATCAATGGCTGTTTGATGGTCACAAATTTGATTGAGAAATTCTGTGTGACATTCTTCAATGACTAGAATTTAAAACAACATCTGTTTCATCTTCTTGGTCCGAGGCTTCTTAATCCGACGTCTTCTGTGTAATATTTTACGAGTTCATATAGAACAGGAAAGTGGTATCGTGGATTGTTTTTACCAAGTTTCACATCTGGTTTTTCTCGCTGTTCGATGAATAACAATCATTCAAATTGTACAGAACAGTAGTTAATATACAGAATAGATCTAACTGGTATTGTATATAAAAATATAAAATATAAGTTAGGTGTGACGACTGTTAGTTTAGTAGTATAGTAATTTGTATGGTATTATTTTGTAATGTTAAGTTGGATAGTGAATATATTCACAATATAAATTGTTAGTGTGTATATAGCAAAGTAAAGTATATATTGTAAAGCTAAGTATAGTTTATATTATATATTGTAAAGCCAAGTATAGTTTATATTGTTAAGCTTAATAAATATACAGTATAATATACAGTCAAGCAACCTAATTTCGTGCAGACTTAATTTCGTGTATCTCCGGAAATGATAATTAATTGACCTGTGCGACGTCGGGTGACCTATGCATTTGTATGTTTTGATAAATATGGGTTGTCTCTACAACGTCAACCTCCAGAATTTTTCCTATCGTTTCAATGCAATGTCAAATTTATTATCTAATTCTAACATATACAAAATGGCGGATTTTATTACCAAATATCGCAATTTTTTATCGGCCAAATTTCCTTATAATCTCAAGCTGTAATCGGAATTCCAAGTGTCGTTTGTTAGAATATATTCCAGTAAACAAAGTCATATGACAAACTAGAGCATTTTCAGCAGAAAAATTCTACGGAGCACAATGTTATTTTATTGAATTTTAGCAATAAATTACTCTTACGATTCACTCATCTTATTTTGTCGGTCACTATTTCTTTTTTTTAAATCATTGTTCTTTAATGGAATACTTAGAAATGGGAATTATACCACTGGGTATCAATACAACGTGTTTTTCTCGACTTATTTATAGTTAAAAAATTGTACACGAAAATAGGTGACGCAATTTTCTCGCGTTGGTTACTCATGAAACTTGGGTCAAGCTGAGAGATTGCGTTTTTTAATTTTGACCAAATTCGGTGTGGAGTCCTTATATTCACGAATTTAGGTTACAACACCCGATGTCGGCAAGATTTCGGCTTGATATCGTTAGATTGATCGTCGATTTCTAAAATAGGCCCGACATAGGCCCTACATCTCCAAATCGATCATCTATCCACTATCACATGCCGATATCTTCCCGACGTCAGTTTCACGTCAGTTATCAAAGACGTGCGCACATCGGATGTCCATCGTGAACAGCAAATGACCCGATGTCGGCAAGACTTCGGCTTGACATCGTTAGATAGATCGTCGATATATGAAATAGACACGACGTAGGGCCGACAGAGTCTGAACCGATATCGATTAGTCTATATATAGCCGACATCGGGTCTAGGTCGTTTAACAGAGCCGACGTGCCGAGATTGAGCCGATGTCGGCCCGATGTTGCGATGTTTGCTGGGTTGGTATAGTGGTATAGTGTATACATGTTTATTGTAAAGCTAAGTGCTATAGTGTATGAATTGTATAGTATGTATGTAGCAAAGCTTATTTCAATAGTGTGAATAATGTAATGCTAAGTTGGATAGTGTATATATTGTGATAATTAAATCACGATTCAGTTTACACAATTTCGCAAAGTACCTTGACAGACGATCATACGTCGGCAAAGTCCCCCCAGGCTACGGGCCTGGGTTTGACAGGTGTCACATGTGTGACAGGTGTGATAGGGAGCCAGCTGTCCATCTGTACGTGAGTTCAGTAGCACGTGTAGAATGATGTAATAATTTCAACTCGCCAAGGTTCAGCAACTACCAGCTGGTCTGAGGTACATCACTGACCAGCTCTAGATCATTTAGACCAAATCCAGGGTCATCCCCATCCCAGCTCATTCAACTCACCAAGGTCCAGCGACTACTAAGAAATGAACAACCCATACCAGGTGTGACAGGTGTAAAAGGTGTGATAGGTGTAACAGGTGTGATAGGTGTAACAGGTGTGATAGGGAGCATGATATTAGTAGCACGTGTAGAATGACGTCATTCGCCTCCAAACTTCAAATTTCAACTTTCGGAATTTTGTAGATATTTGAAAAATTCTTTTTGCAATTAGTTATAATTGTCCCCGTAAAGATTTTGGAATCAAAAAATTTGACCCGGAAGTATTGTGTAAGACGCCATCTTGATATGACTCATTTTTATAAAACTCAAAATGGGGCCTCAGGGTAAAATTGGATGTGCGTAAATTTGATGTTTATGTAAATACAATCGATTGCTAACAAAACATGGGAAGCCGATTTTTGAATTTTGGCTTTGTATTTTTTTTATTTCCGGTTTTATGTTTTCAGTAATTGTCAAAACTATTAAGGCTCATATCTAGTGACTTTGACCTTTGGTGACCTTGTGACCTGAACAAAAGTTGTCGCCTCTTACGAGATCTATCCGATTATATCTACACTTTTGTTGGTCATCGTTAACTTCCGGTTCTACAGCCATTGGAAAATCGCGATTTTTAACTTTGAAGAGCTCTGTCACGTGACCTAATTAACATACGACATAAATTCTTATATATTCTTTGAGTGCATGAAATCTCCTTTTTGGTGATATATCACACTTGATATTTTGATCAAAATTGCGCGTTTTAAAAATTGAAAATTTTGTACCGACTTCTATAGTAACTGTGCGTAAAATCACGGTGTCTATAATTTACCGACAGTCACCGTTGCCCTAAAAAAAGTTTAACTACGAATATCTCATGATCTAATAATTGTAAAGACTTGAAATTTTGAACATTATTTAACAGTGTAGACATCATCACAGACAAATTAAAATTTTTAAGTGGGCGTGGCACATCCGGTGTGCATTTACCTTTACCTGAAATATTTGCAATTGTTATAACTCTCATAGTTTTCAATTGTCACTCTAGAAATTTTGCATCAAAATAGATCACTGCTTAGGACAATTTGTGATAAGACTACACTTGTTTGCATTCTTTACTTTAAAAAAGGGAACAGGTTTAACAATTTTATAAATTTTCATTTTTGATCTTTAGCATGAATGACCTTGACCTTTGCATGGTCAAAGGTCATTGACTAAGGATGACCATTCTTACTTTGATCTTTGATGTCCGATATATACTTCCGGTTTTGCAGACGTCCAAAACAGCAATTTTCGAAACTTCAAAGGCTCATATTACTTTTATTTGACATTTGTTGACCTTTTGACCTGAACAAAAGTTGTTGCCCCTTACGAGATCTATCCGATAATATCTTCACTTGTGTTGTGCATTGTTAACTTCCGGTTCTACAGCAATTTGAAAATCGCGATTTTTAACTTTGAAGAGCTCTGTCACGTGACCTAATTAACATATAACAAAATTTCTTATATATTCTTAGAGTGCATGATCTCTCCTTTTTGGCGATATATCACACTTGATATTTTGATCAAAATTGCGCGTTTTAAAAATTGAAAATTTTGTACTGACTTCTATAGTAACTGTGCGTAAAATCACGGTGTCTATAATTTACCGACAGTCACCGTTGCCCTAAAAAAAGTTTAACTACGAATATCTCATGATCTAATAATTGTAAAGACTTGAAATTTTGAACATTATTTAACAATGTAGACATCATCACAGACAAATTAAAATTTTTGAAGTGGGCGTGGCACATCTTGTGTGCATTTACCTTTACCTGAAATTTTTGCAATTGTCATAACTCGCAAAGTTTGTAATTGTCATCCTAAAAATTTTGCATGAAAGTAGATCACTGCTTAGGACAATTTGTGATAAGATTACAGTTGTTTGCGTTTACTTTAAAAAAGGGAACAGGTTTAACAATTTTAAAAAATTTTATTTTTGAACTTTAACGTAAATGACCTTGACTTTTGCAATGTCAAGGGACATTGATCTATGATGACCATTCTTACTTTGATTTTTGATGTGCAACATATACTTCCAGTTTTACAGACGTCCGAAAACAGCAATTTTCGAAACTTCAAAGGCTCATATTACTTTTATTTAACCTTTGTTGACCTTTTGACCTGAACAAAGGTTGTTGCCCATTACGAGATATATCCGATAATATTTTCACTTTTGTCGTGCTCCGTTAACTTCCGGTTCTACAGCCAATTGAAAATCGCGATTTTTAACTTTAAAAAAAGGTCTATCACGTGACCTAATTTATATAAGCGAAAATTTATCTTTAGTCCTTTTTACACGCAATCTATTCTTTGAAATGATATATAACACTTGGTATTTTGATTAAAATTGAATTTGAAAATTTTGTATTGACTTCTATAGTAACTTTGCGTAATTTTAACGGTTTCTATAATCCACCGACAGTCACCGTTGCCTTAAAAAAACATTTAACTACGAATATCTCATGATCTAATGATTGTAAACACTTGAAATTTTGAACATCATTTGACATTGTACACATTATTACAGACAACACAAAATTTTTGCAGTGGGCCTGGCAAATCCGGGTTACTTTTACCTTTACCATAAATAATTCAAATTGTTATAACTCGAAAAGTTTGCATTTTTCACCATCGAAATTTTACAAAAAATTAAAGCACTATTTGGGACAATATCTGATAGAGTTACATTTTGTTTAGGCCTTTTACTTTAAAAAAGGGAATAGGATTTACAATTTATAAAATTTTGATATTTTGACCATTTACATGCATAATCTTGGTCTTTAGAAGGTTATTGATCTATGATATCCATTCATACTTTTATCTTTGATGTCCGACATATATTTTCGCTTTTACAAACGTCCCAAAACAGCAATTTTCAACACTTTTAAGGCTTATATTCTCTTTTATTTGACCTCTGTTGACCTCTTGGCCGAAACACAAATTATTGTACCTTTCCAAAAATATTTTCATTTTTGTTGTGCGAATTGAACTTTTAACTTTACAGCTATTTGAAAATTCGACTTTTTACTACCGAATGTTAACACCTTTTAGTACCGAATGGTATCAAATTCATGCGTCTTTTCACTACCGAACGGTAAACGGTTTAAACGATTTTTTCTACTATTGAACGTTTACATGCTTTTCTTTCCGGTAAGAAATCCCATTGTGACTTTAAAATGCAACTTTTTATCGATGTATCAGGTTGGATGCGCACTGCTTCGGTACCGTTATAACGGTTCTAGTTTATATTTGTTGTTCATGCTACTTTTGGGAGAAACGAAAGTATCTATTCGTGCTTCAAAATATATACAAACAATTTCGGCCAAAATAGTCAATACGTTTAATTTTACAAACAGAGCTAAAATTCAAGTTTAATTGTAATTCAAAGTCAAAGTTTTTTTATTTATTCACGAACCCGATGATGGATATATCTCCGACCAATTCAAGGTATGAAAATCTCCAGGTACTCTTTAAAAATCTGTATAATTTGAATAACTCAAAATCAGAAATCCAAAGGGTTCGGTCAAGCATAAGTGTTAGTAATATTAACCCGTAAACATTGCGACAATACGGCAATTGTATGATTATTTATTGCTATAAGAAATGTTATTAGTCATGATAGCAATGTTCACAATATCATTAACCATTATAATACAATTTGAATATTGTCCGCATCAGATCTATTTCGAAAGGCTGTTTAAAATCTTTTGAACTTCAATTTAATTTTGGACATTTAAATTTCTCACGTATAACAAGAAAGTTTTTAATTCTACCAAAGATTAATGCAATGTAGAGAAAATATAAAGGCCTATAGTTGTTGTTTAAAACACCGGAATCTATGCAAGAAGGGCTGGCTGTTTATTTATAAAGTTGTAATCGTATGTATTCAATTTCTTTGATAATCTTAAATACTTTTGAACCCACGTCGACACTCATAACCGTACAGTTGCCACTGCACACCACGAGAGTCATTACGACAGTCATTTTCTGTAAAAAGCCTACAGACGTTATTGCTCCAATCGAGGAACCACCAATCAGAAGGTCGTTAAAGGTATTGTAAAGAGGTTTTATATAAAGTTTTATGTGTATCAGGGACACTGATAGCATCAATTTGCACCATTCAATTTTTCAATCAGAAGTCGGTGGTTCTTGCAATTCCGCTTTAACTCAACAGTTGATGACGTCACTAATCGTAAAATAATATGCTGAATCACATATGCGATTGGTGACGTCATAAAACGCTTAGTTTAAGTTGAATTGCAGGAACCACAGAAGTCTGATTGAAAAATGGAATGGTGCAAATTGATGTTATCAGTGTCCCTGATACACATAAACATTTTAGAAATTATTTTTACAAGCCCTTTAAGTTGCCCCTCTAAATTCTAATACTCATGACTGTGCTCAATAATAATTCAACAATAATAAATGATCATTTTTAGTTACAAGAGAAATAAAAAAAAAAACATTGATTTAACAAACCGTGCAATCCATTGTTAAGACTTGCAACAAAACAAAGGCTTATCACGGAGAAAATATTCAGAAACATTCTTCTGTTTTTCTTGGTGTTATTTCATCAAAACACATTGGTTGACGCTTTTATACCCAAAATGTTTTTTCAATTTATTGCGAATGCCAATCGATAAACAGAATATTTGAGAACAATCCGGTTTCTATTAAAGTGTTAAAATTACAAGTCCTCAGGCACAAAAATTGAATAATCTAAAAAGTAGAGATACGTATTCAATGAGACATTGCCGTTTAACTTTTGGCTTCAAAAACTGTAACTGTAACTCAGGCCCTGTAGATGGCATATTATTCAAAGCGGATTGGCCTTCAAATAATGTGTCAGTTTCACTTTCATTAACGACAGATCCACGAGTAGTTCTTGGTCAAACAAAGCTTATTGTTTGGTTATTTTTTTTTTTTCAAGATAAAATGAAAAATCAAAAGGAAACCATTGTCTTATTCTTATTTAAATAATTGGAATTTTTACTTTGTCGATTGGTCTTCAGATGTCTTTGCAATGTTCGGCTGCAAAAGAACACGCAGTTACCTCCCTGTAGTCCTTATCAAGCTGCAGACCGAATTTAGAATTCCTTAAGATATTTACAATAGGGTTTTTCATGGTGAAGGAAATGAAAATGAAGTGTATCTCGAGGCTTTATCGCCCTAATTAACCTGTATTTGCTGCTTTAACCAGTTTTCGTAATTCTTTGTATGTATAGAACATAATGATTATAGAAATTATATTAAGAATAATTATAAGAATATTTGAATCAAAAAATGAAGCGCATTTTCGAAAATTTGGAGGAGCTAAAGTGGCTCAGCGTTTGTTGGCTAACCTGGGTGACTTTTTGATAATTGGCTTCATTACACACTGCATGGCATAGGCCGTCTTCATCGACCAAATAACTACATTTTATTTTGAAACATTTTGGACATGTCTTACAGTTTCAATCAATTTCCATGAAATTTGAAAAAAAATCAATCCTTTTGCCATTAATCGACAAATATGGGACTTTCCTTTTAAATATTAATCTTTTTTTAGATTTTTGTGTAGTTTTAAATTGGCAGAATATAATGTTGTGATTTCCTATATTTATTTGAAAGAACTTGCACAAATGTTGCACAATGTTCGTCACACAATGTGATTAAATAAAGATAGTTCATTGTCATGGCAACCAGCAGCATGAAATTTAACACTACATGCATAGTCGAAATCATAAGATATACACACAACATATTTCTTTTTTTTTCAATATTAGTGCACGAAAGAGTATTTGTAGCATATTACCGGATTTAAATGAAATTCCTTCTGAAGTACTGAAGTACTGTGTAGCATGCTTCAATCTTGGAAATGTGCCGAAACAATGGACCAGAAATTAATGTTACACATCCAATATTCAAGTCAGGGAGTGCAGATAAATTAGATACCTAAAATTACAGAGGTATATCTCTTGTTTCTGTTCCGAGAAAGGTGTATTGTCATGTACTTAACCAAGGACTTTCCATGTGGCTCGAACAGAATGATTTATGATCAGACTTCCAGAACGGTTTTAGAAAGAATAGAAGTTGTGAAGACCACATATTATCCCTTTATAACATAATAAATGATAGGAACGTCAAGCGGAAGCCCACTTTCATCTGCTTTGTGGATTTTAAACGTGCTTTTGATGGAACCCAGAGACATAAATTATGGCATAAGTTGCGAAAAATTCCTCAATGCCACACATGCTCTATACCTGAATACGACTAGTGCTGTTTAAATAAACGGTGAACTCAAATCATGGTTTGAGGTCAATTCAGGGGTAAAACAGGGTTGTATTATGTCACCTTCTCTCTTTGCAATATATTAATGATTTACTTGAGGAGTTGCAACAACATAAGTGTGGGATTCATATTGAAGACATGAATATCAGTGCTCTTATGTATGCAGATGATCTTGCCCTTATAGCCTCAAAATGGCAATTAAATTTGAACCCCAGCAAAACAAACATTGTGCACCACCGTCCCTCAATCAACTTTTAAATTTGTCTGTGGTAAAACTAATATTGAATACGCAGATGCGTATAAGTACTTAGGTTTATTGATAGATGAATTTCTTGATATGAAAAAAATAACTGAGGAACTGTTTAAATCGGCAAGTCGTGCGCTGGGCGCACTGTGTACTAAGTTTAAATTGACTGGGGGCATAAGCTAAAATGTGTTTAATAAATTATACAAGTCCTTGGTAGGACCAGTGCTGAATAACTGTGCTGGGATTTGGAGTACAAAGTCGTACTCATGCATAAATACCGTACAAAATAAAGCAGTTATAGGTGTTATAGAAGATACTCTCCTACAGAAGCACTGGCCTAGAGACTATGGATTTCAACATGAAAACTATTTCAATTCAAACAGAATATGTTTTACTGAAGATTGTTCATAGATTATTACTTCTGGAGAGATTACAAGAAAAAATATATTCAACTCAAATTCCAATGCAATTGTTTCAGGGAGTTGATGAAAGGGGTTATAATCTACCATGAACCAATATATTACTTAAGTTTTTATTTCTTTTATATGCAGTGACCAAACGTTTAGTATAAATTTATCTTGGAGCTCATTATAAAAGCGTTTGACAATGACAGGCATTTTTAGCTGTAGTATTGTGGGTCGCAATGAAGGGTATGATTTGGTTGTTATATTGGATATTTAGGCCGTTAGGTATGACTGTTTGTAGTTGGTCTATCCAAAAGCTTTCCCTTTGCAATCGGTTGGTTTTTTGGTTTGATCAATGTTGATACAGGTACTTTTTCTATAGGCATAACAAGAAGATCTTCAATGGAATGATTGGGTAAATTGAAATGATTCACAATCGGTCTATCTTTCTTATGGAGCATATCGAAGCGATGACCGCTAAGACGAGTACGCAACGCGTTTTGAGTTTCACCAACATATTGAACGTCACATTTTTTACAAGAAATTAGGTATATAATGTTTTTATCGATGCAAGAAAGTACTTCCGTAAGTTCGAAAGTTTTACCGTTTTTCTTGTTTTCGAAATAGTGAGATACATTTATATATTCGCAGGTACGACACCTAGAACCTCCACATGGAACAGAACCGAAACCGTTAGGTGGGGGAGGGGGTCATGTTTCTTTTCAATGGCCGAAAGAGTGTCGTTTTTAATTTTGCGCAAAAAAACGTTTAGAATATCCCCTTGTGAAATTCTACCGTGGAGTTGGTAAAAACACTTCGAATATTGCAACAAGAGGGGCGTTGGCTGGAGCTCCTGTTATATAAACAAAAAATACAGTGTATCGGACTGTAAATTGTACAGAATTGATAAGAATAGGCATCTATTTCATCGTGTTAAAATATGGTAATCATTGACAGGAGTGAAACAAAGTTGATATCATCGTATTTTAGGAATAATCAAGTCTGTTGATTAAGTGATATAGTTTTCAATTTAAAATGATCTATTAAACTTATAATAAAAGTATGTACGGAAAAACTACAAGAATTTGACCCATCTGAGTGGTACAAAGAGCTTTATGATGAAAGAAATCAGATATATGGCAATAAGTTACGCACTTACCGTACTTATAAGAATGATATTTTTCTTGAGAGTTACGCATAAGACTGTAAAATACCTAGATATCGTAAGCAATTGATTTGCCAACTGCGAAGTGGATCTTTGCCTGTAGCTTTGGAAACCGGGGGGTATGCAATGCCGCTTGTATATAGATAGGAATTTGCAAATTCTATACTATGCAAACTATTGAAAATGAATATCATGTTCACCAGGAGAAGCTTGATCAACTTTTTACAATTATCACCTATTTAGATTTTAATGTTATTATGGATTGATATTTATGTTTTAAATTTTGTGAATGTATTTCATGATTTTATATAAACGATTACCCAGGGTATATGTGCCACAAGCCTTTTTATGTTTATATTTTGTCATCAAAATATACTGCTCATACTGTATATATAGATACTTGATTTTATTTCATTTATGTACATAAATTACATTTATTTAACTGTTTATTTGTCGTTTTTAATGTGACACCTATTTTATCAGAGACGTCGCCTTAATTTAATCACTTATCGACGCATTTCAACACAAAAGACATCTACGTCAATTCATTAAGAGTCTCCACATGATTTTACGACATAGACGCTAAATCCGGTTCACAACCAAATTACTGTATTGGAAATGTAGGAAGCTGTATGTGGGGAAAAATACAGAATATTCTGTATTGTAAATATTGTCAGTTAGTTGCGTTATACATGGATGTAGAAAATACAGAATATACAATATAGAATGGCCATATAAAATGATGTTACGATCGGGTGTACAATACAATCTTAATATTAATGTACATGTATTTGTATATTAATGATTATCTTTATATATTTATCAATTATATTAATGCCAATATATTTTCTATATAATTAAGATTAATACAAGTACATTAAGTTATACATTCATTAGTTAATTTGATTTAAATATGTAGAAAATATAAAACACATAGAATGGTCATATGTCATTTTGTAACGATCGGGTGTTACTTGATTAACTTGAAAATCTAAGTTCCAGATTTCAAAAGCAAATATCTATTTATAATTTTCTTTTCTATTTTCTATTTTCGTTTATATTGCATATAATATGTAGCGATCATAAAATATTAAAATAATAGAACATTTTCAAGACGATTTCCCCATTATAGGTGAAGTGTCGATTAATCAAAATAGAATAACGGTCCTCAAAGATCCAGTTGACGCTCCCAAATGCGGGCAAATGAAAAAAAAATATGAATTTACCACGATTTCTTCATTTCTTCGATTTTTCGATGCAACTTTTTGCAAAAAGTAAGTAGCGGTAATCCCCAACAATGCATGACACCAAAAACTAAAACCATTAGTCGGACTGAATTAAGCATTGGTTCATATGGACCAATGGGTGTCAGATAAAAGTGTGTACCACAGTGCTTAAAATGTCGCCATATTTTATAATTACAGACGAAACATACTGAAAGTGATACCGATCTCAACAATGTTTGGCTATTCCGATCTGCGTCTAATACCTTGACTGAAATGGACACCTTTCTTGTATTACGAAAGTTTGTAAATAAAGCGATTTGATTGGATTGTACTTTACCAAATACTGCCAATCATAGGCCTCGATTACACTCGGAGCCAAAGTGTTTACAGGCTTTAAGTGGAGAGCACTGATTGGATGTGTTCAGTACTGTACAACAATTGGATGTCACCGCAAATTTTAAACCACCCGGAGGTCACGAGACGATTTCGTGACTTCGGCATTTTTGTGTGGCCACTCGGTGTCAACTTCAAGCCCACATGTCAGACGCAGTATTCTATTCACCACCTGACGATTATCTACGAGAGTATCTTTTCAGAATGAAAATCCTACCGTACGTTCCTCTTAATTAATATACAGTGGCACAATGACCAGTATCATACTGTTTGTTTCAAAAAATACTAATAAGATGATAAAGGGTAACAACAGGTGTTGGAATCAGAATGTAAAAAAGAGGAATAAAGTCGTTTTACTGCGTGAAAACACACCATTAAATGTCGCTGCGACCACGTTGCCACAAGGTCGCATGTCCTCATTCAATGCACTGAACTGAAACCCGCTCGTAAGCCATTGGCAGAGTACCTGGAAACCAACGGCATACCACTCACCGTACAGAATGTTTTGTCTCCACCCATGCACGGACCACTGGTATACTCGTCTTCCAATTTATAACCAAATCTGTCTTGAACAGATAGGCTAAGTTTTTATTGTCAAGTTTCTTAACACTTTTTCATTATATCCCATCAATTTAACAAGTTTCACTGCAGAAACCTCAGAGAACATCTTCTCCCCCATTTGTTGAAAGCTTTTCCCCCTTATTATTTTTTCTTTTCCCCTCTTTCTCACATTTTTTTCTTTTTTTCGGGTCTTCTATTTTTCCAACAGTTATTAGATAATCTAACCAAACCAACGATTACCATTCGACTACAAATCAACAAGATATGCCATGATCAGAACAAGTTTGGAAGAATGAAGGAGATCGAGTAACCATTCAGGGTCGAGTTTCACCGCCATGTCATTCAACCCGACCAGATCTAACGAAGAATCAACAACCAAACCAACAACACAGAATTAACCAATTTGAACCAATTCAACTACCAATTACTACAACTACCAACAAGTACCTAGTTTGCGATATCAGCATCCGATGGAAGCAAACGTTAACTTGTCATCTACCAACCAACCTTAATTAGGAAAGCTCTGGTCATTAGAGATCCAGTGGAGATTCTATGAATCATTAGATGAGGGAACAATTTAGGCGGCTAATAATCGCCAAGGGAGGCTTGCAAGCAATTACTTCACTATGTACAAAAATAACAAATTTCAAAGTGTGGAGGAGAGCGTGTTGGGGGGGGGGGGGCTATTTTTTAGTGGATGGTATTGACCCCAGTATTAACGCCACTGTTGAGTTCTCTATAATTAAGCATTAGAGTTTGTGTCTACCATGTTAACATTGTCAACTAAAGTGACTAATATTTATGGAATGTATTCCGTCATATGATTCACGATTTTACAAGTGAAATCAGTAAAAATAAAATTAAAAAAATATTCGTCAATGTTATGTAACCCACGCCTTCTTTTCTACCAATAGTTTTCTATATACAATCACAACCTGTAACCAATCAATTCACTTCTATATAAGAGGATTGGTGACAGCTTGCCGGATG